GGAATTCATTTGTTTAGTCAATTACCAAAATTTGGATGATTTTGAATATTCACTTGAAAAGTTATCAAAGAAAAACATTTTTCATTTTGTAACTTCGAGGGCCCGTAACTTGGTTACGAAGACTTTTAGGAAAAAAAGTTATATGAAGTACTGGTGATATTTTGACCCCATCTATACATTCCCGAATTCCCGAGAGGAAAAGAGGAAGTCCAGGGACACCCTGTATATAATATTTAGATATACATAAAACTAATAAGCAAAATTTTAGCCTAATCCACCGAACACTATTTTTTCGAAAAAATAATTGACGTGATTTCGTCATTGGACATACATTTTATTTATGAACCGATTCAAATGAATCAAACACTGAATGTTAAGTAAAACACATATACATTATTGAAAACTGCACCGGAATTGGTTGAGCAGATACACTTTTATTATATGCATTGATGATGATATTCTGAACAAATGACCCGCTGAAGACGCTTTATATTTCATGGATGTACAAACTCATCGTAAAATTTTTGTCGAATTATTATCATTGGAGGAAGCGCTTCCCGACGCAGATCCATCTTCTGGAATGCTGATCTGGAACTGGAGCAACACCACCAGGTACGTCACCATTGTGGCAATTAACTGAAAATAGAAATTCAATTAGCGATGGGTGATGGAACGGGAATACTCGAGTGGATAATTACATTCGAGGATGGAAATGGATTAACGTGATGGCCGGATATGATGGAACATATATCCTCACAAACAACAGTTATAAACGAGGAGCGCTTTGTCGGATAATTCCTTCTTCTGTAGTGAATACTTATATGGAACATACTGCTACCGTTGATTATATTTTAGAAACATACTGTACTAGCAAGATTATCATTTGTGGTGACTATAATATACCCGACGCATTTTGGTTTAATGGAGAGCTTGGTCTGAATGTTAATTGTCCATAAAACTCACCTGCACTAGTTTTATTACATTCATTTAGTTTCCATAATTTATATCAAATCAATAATAGTCCAAATTCAAGAAATGTTTACTGAGCTTTAATTTTTTCATCATTCATAAATATGTCTGTTCAAAATCCATCAGACCCAATTTTTCAAAATCCATTACATCATTCTTCGGTATGTTTTGATAAAAAATGATACGAAGGAATATCTAAAATATGATGAATACTACTATGACTTTGTAAATGGAGATTATATGGGCATGAATGATTTCATGGCAAGTATCAACTGGGATACCGAAATACTGAAGGATGAGGATTTAAATATTGTAGTTACAAATTTTTACAATATTCTCTATACAGCTCTGGAGTACTTTGTTCCACTAAAGAAATATAAAGCTTCTACTTTCCTAATATGGTTCAATTCTGAGCTGAAAAATTAGTTTTCAAGAAGAAATCGGTTCACAGAGAATACAAAAATGGAAATTTTTATCAATATGAAGAATTTTGTTATTTGAGAGATAAGTGCAAA